AAATGGAAGTAGGGGTGCCTGGGTGGCTCAGTCAGTTAAGCATCTGACTCTTGATCTTGGCTCGGGTCATGATCTCAGGGTTCGTGGGATCAAGCCCTGTGTCAGGCTCTGTGCTGGCAGTGTGGAGCCTGCTTGGGATTGTCTCTCTCCCTCTTTCTCTGCTCCTCCCCTTCTAATGCTCTCTCTCTCTTTCAAAATAAATAAATAAACTTTTTAAAAATGGAAGTAAAAGCTGTTTTTAGATGGTTCAAAACTTAGGGAATCTGTCACCAACTGCAAAGGTAATATTAATGATCTTCAAGCAGAAGTAAAATGATCCCAAATAAAAGCTGGGAGCTATAAGATGGAATGAAGTGTGATGGAGAGGTTAAATATGTGAGTAGGTTTGAATGCCCCTTGGTTGTATAAAACAAAAATAGTAATGTCATGTTATGTGGGATATATATGTGTTAATTAAAATACACAATAGTAGTTGAGGAAGGAATATAAATGGAGTGAATATAAATTCTCTAATCTGCATTATAATTTAATAAGTCAAAGATACATGTTGTAAGTCCTAGAATAACTCCTTTTTAAAAACCAGTAAAAGAATGTATAATAAACAAGTAAACAAAGGAGGAAATTGAATAATATAAATTACCTAATAAGTATAAAAGAAAACAACAGAGAAAAGGTAACAAAACAGGCAAGAGACATAGAAAGCAAATATTGATATACTAGAGTTAAGTTCAAATATATCAATAATTGTGTTAAATGTAAATGAACTGAACACATTAATTAAACAACAAAGAATATTAAACTGTTTAAAAAACAAAATATAACTATGTGCTATTTATAAGAGACACAAGTTAAATGTACAAATACAGGAAAATTGAAAGTTAAAGGGTGGAAGAAATATACAATGCCAACACCATCCAAAAGACAACAGATGGAGATATATTAATAACAGACAAAGTTGAAGGTTTTTTTTTTTCTAGGAAAGAGTATAGCCACTCCATTTTCAGAGCTCCCCTCATTAGGGGTCTTTCCATAGCCACCTGGGATCCTGTTCAGTGGCAGTGTACTGAAGCCACCCTCAACAAGCAGACCTACCTGGGATGTATCTTGGTTTCTTCATCAAATGTCAATCCTACTGAGGATTTGAACCAATCTGACACACTACATCTATAAAAGTACCGGTACCCAGAACGCATGGTAACAGGATCCCTGTGTTGCCTAAATCCAAAGATTGAATTAATGTGGAAATCTCAGGCTCTAAAGTCAGTTAGTGAAGAAATGCTCAAAGTTGACTTTAAGATAGGAATATTTACTAGACATAGAGAGATTTTGTAATGTCCTTTTTATGCACACAGAAAAATAGATGGTAATCCTGGGCCATAAAGTAAGTCTCAAAAACTTGAAACAATTACAGTCATTTATACTAGCTGTTTGTTTGCTTGCTTTTGTTCACTTCAGAGCGAAATGAAGTTAGAATATAATAATGAAAAATCTAGAGGGGTGCCTGGGTGGCTCAGTCAGTTAACCGTCCAACTTCAGCTCAGGTCATGATCTCACAATTCATGGGTTCGAGCCCCACATCAGGCTCTGTGCTGACAGCTCAGAGCCTGGAGCCCTATTCAGATTCTGTCTCCCTCTCTCTCTGCCCCTCCCTGGCTCGCACTCTGTCTC